CTTTCAGTCGTTATTTCATTTAAAAAGCACTGCAGAGTTGACTACTGCACTGATGTTGAGGACTGAACTGGCATATGTATATCAAAACTTACATACCAATAACCAAAAAGATTGTTACTCAAAATTGTTTCAGACTGTAAATTTTCAATCTAAAATGAACGAAAGTAACGAATTATTGAAAGGACAATCCCTGACGCATTTCACATGAGACATGTTTTCGCTGTCTTCTGTCTTTATATACCACTAAATTTGCCCTCTTGTACATTTGACAGATTGTGTTCTATTGCAATTTGTTATATTTGAACGGTTTATCTTTTGCTATTGGCTATTGCTGTCTTCATAATATAGATATTTGTTGATTTTTTCTTATGGACTTAAAATATCTTCGTTGATCCGGTTGTCACGTAACTGCAATTCAGTTGGATGTTCTCACTATATAATTTTCTGAAGTGGTTCCGATTTATGCACCCACCTGATTGTAAACATTCCACAACTTCACAAAATAGTATAGTGTCATTGTTTTTATACATATTGTATATTATAAATCCTAAGTTCAAACACTTAATCATCTTGCATTGATCTATGTGTGTGGCAAAAAAACTATAATCAAAGTGCCAGCGTGTCACTAAAACTCGTTTGCTGATTAAAACATTTGCATAAAAGATCATCAGAAATGACAAACCACCATCTACCCCACCACTCACTCCGCCATCCACCCAACACCCCACCCAACCCCGTATTTGGGATTTTTCAGATCTTACAGGCTTCCACAATTAATTCCATTTGTTCGTTGTCCAGGAATATAGTTCCCATGTTTTTTATGGGATATTTCTTCCTGATGTCTCTTGACTCTTTTATGAAAAGTTTACTACTGAGGTGGTCCTATAAGTTGCATATATATATTGAAATAAGTAAAACATGTGGGAAACATTTAATGTTTAAAGTGAAAGTAGTGATTTGGTCAAAGTGAAAATAGGGCAGATATTACCCTTCGACCCTTTATTCAAGCCTCAACTCCTACCCTTTGCATGTTATCAGAGCTCTCAAGAGAGAAAGATGCGATTGAGTGTGCATGGATAAGCATATGTTTATATTAGATTACAACGGTCTATGAGAGGTAGAATTTATTGCATTTTGAACCGGTGCATATTTTTTTTCGATTTCACTTTTACATAGAAAAGCATTGTGACCAATGGTAACAATAATTGTGATCTTAGACCTTCACGAGCAACAAATCGTCCAACGGAGCAAAGTGAAATGTCTAATTTAATCACTTAAAGTCAAAACCGTTCTGATTGTCAGATCATTTTAATTATTTTTAATCATTTTAATTTAACAATAGACCATTCTTATTGAACCAAATGTGAATACATTTATTATCCGTCATTTTAAGTATTGTTTGTGGGCCTATTGTCAACTTCTAATTGATATATTTTGCCACTGGACGTAGTGAAACAACAATCAATCAACCAATTGATTTACAATTAGATCTTACCAGCTTTCTTTTTTTATCAGCTTCCTTCATCTGTTATTCGATAGTCTTGTGTGAAGTGGTGTTTTTCAATATATTCAAACTGTTTAGTTTAGTTTAAAAATTTTAGAAGCTTTAAATTTTTCTTTTATTTGATTTGTTTTCTTTCCTTTGAAAATTCATGGACTCGTTTCTTTTTGTCAATATTTTCCTCGTTGGTATTAGTGCAGAGTAAAAACAAAATCATCAAACTAAACTAAATTCACCAGCAGTTCATGTAACTTATAACCAAGAATGGTCTGTAAGTTTCCATTGATTGCTTTTCATTTGAATTCATAAAAAAACTAAGGACCAACCAAACAGTGATTTATACAAATCAAGTCCGATTATATAATTGAGAATGGAAATGGGGAATATGTCAAAGAGACAACAACCCGACCAAAGAGCAGATAACATCCGAAGGCCACCAATGGATCTTCAACGCAGCGAGAAAATCCCGCACCCGGAGGCGGTCCTCAGCTGGCCCCTAAATAAAATTGTGTACTGGTTTAGTGAAAATGAACGTCACACTAAACTCCAAAACATACAAAGGAACTAAAATTAAAAAAAAACATACAAGACTAATAAAGGCCAGAGGCTCCATGTATCCCATTTAACGTATTAGTTGATCTTGGTCCTCTTTCCATCATTTCCTTTGTCTTAAAATTAAATATGTAAAGAGCATTTTACAGTTTAAGCCATTGTTTATTGACTTTCAATGATGTAAATGCAATACTGCTCAGACATATTACTCGAAATTTCAATACAGTACTCTTAAATATCTTTTAAAAAAGTTTTGAAGTATTTATTGCTACTGAAAATATTGCGTGGGTTAATATTTTATCGTTGTACTAAAGCTGTAACTCCTTCTGTCAAAATTGACGTTTAACGGTGTAAGACGTCCTGTTAGACCTTATTGGTTTCTATATGCTGTTGAAGGTTTTTCATTTTTGGCTTCTAGTGTTTTATCTCGTCTGTCCCTGCAGCAACACTTGTTAGGCACACAAAAACAGTTGCATGCAAATAGCACTTGATACATTCGTGTGTCCGAATCGCTTTTCTTTATTTACCTTCATCGGGGACGCTCAAACCTACACATTTGAAATCCAAGAATGTATAAATACCTATACATGGTAGATACTTTAAGATCTTTATGACCAAACGAGATATAAAAAGAATAGCCTCTATAAAGGATCAAATATGCCTGAGGGAAATAGAACCTTGTGCATGGTTTGAATTTTTTGTTCAATTCCATAACATAATACTGTACTTGTCTGTTGATACGACTCAATAAATAAGGTACCATAGACATCTGTCAATTTAACGAAATGGCGTTCTTTTTTTTTAAATTTATAGAAAGTTAACTTACAGACAGGTACTATTTCCGTATACTGTATAGTTCACCAATTTCATTAGATTGATAATTACTTTCCTCAAACAGTAATATCCCCCCTCCCCCCTAAAAAAACATGATGAAATTAATAAGTGTTAATGTTCTATGTAAGTCTGAGCCGTATTTGGAACAACTTTTGAGACTTTAGGTTTTTAATACGCTTTAACTTCGTATTTGATTTGCATTCCAACTGTTTTGAGTGCCACTGATAAATGTTTTGTACACGAAACGCCTTTCAGGAGTAACGAATTAAAAAGCCTGGTATCGTTGATGAGTCTATATAGCCTACTATAATTCATGTTATCAGAGTCTTTCTGTATACACCGAAAATTCAAGCTTAATCTTAAAAGTTCTAATATGATGTAATAACGACACTTCTAGAGGATTCTACCGCTTTTTCATTATTTATCATTGTAAACTATTAACAAAATTAGCCATGCGTTCTTTTTATCTTGCTGCCAAAAACGAGGAACCTTAACAATTAAATATCAATCAATATGAAATATAATACCGTTAAAAGAGAGGCGAAAGATACCAGAGGGACATTCAAAGTCGAAAATAAACTGACAACACCATGGTTAAAAAGAAAACGACAAACAGACAAACAGTAGTACACAATACACAACATAGAAAACTAAAGACTGAGCAACACGAACCCAACAAAAACTGGGTCGCCAACAAATTGTAATATATATTAGGTAGTCCTTTAAAATCGGGGGAAATAAAATTGAAATAAACTAAATTCTTAACAGTGGAGATCAATACAGTGACGTTGCATTTCCTCAAACGATTAAGATGTAAGTTTTAAACACATTTGAACCACCTCATTCTCCTTTTTGCTTTTTTCCTTCATTCAATGAAATCATATTTTGTGACTACATTCAGAAAAAATTGAGAAAAACATCCTCATAAAACACCAATAATTGTTTCTCATACTTAATCTTATTTTTTTTTTTTTTTTTTTTTTCTTTCCTTCTGTCTTAATAAGGTTCCCAAACGGGGAATTACCTATCAAATGTTAAAAGCGTCACTGAAGAGACATTAATTGCCGAAATGCCTATCTTGTGCAGAACAAATGGTACCGTTAATGTTATCATACTCATTTTTCCGAAAATAGTTTATGTATCTACATTTGCCAGTTGATTATGGTTGCCTGGATCGCATTTCCGTTTTCGTTTCACTGTTTAATGAAATGTCTTTGCGCATAGGTAAAGATGATGAAAAATGTACTTACCTCCCTTCTTCTACCATTTGCTCTTCTCGTTCAGAAAATGCACATTTTGTCAGCATTTTGAAACATTAGGACTTAATCCTCACATAAAACCAATATTTTTGCATATTTTCTTTCTTTCAGTGTTCTCCTGGTGTAAAAGGAAATCTTTTTACGTCTAAACGCCTCTGTTACATGTATATCCGAGGGAGTTTTTTTTTAATAATTCTGAAATTAAAAACTACTTTTTTCAAATTTTATATTTATTACTCTGTGCATAATTTAAGTGTCGAAAATTTCCCACCAGTTGAATATGTTCACTTTGACTGCAGTGAAGATGAGGTTCTAGCATAAATAGTAGAAACCATACATTTTTATGAGGACAACGGTTCGTTTCCCTTCTAAGGACACCTACTTTCATATACATTTGTACATATAATTTACCTTTACTGAATTTTAAATTTCAAAAACACAAGATGTGCTCATTTTTGCGATTCCCTTTATGATATATTGCTGTATGAAATGTCTTTACTTATAAGTAAAGATGAACATGGTTGGTTTGTAATATTTTCTCATTTTATTGCCAGAAAAGGTTTTATTCCCATATGTTCGGTCTTTAGTTTTCTTCAACTTCCCATTTGAATTGGACTTCAAACTATTTTGATTCGACTGTCATTGATGAGTGTTACCTTGATTTTTCCTCTTAATTGGTTAATCTTCAAAAAAAAACTGCTACAGACATAATATAATCACAAATTCAGTCACAATGGTGTTATCTGCCGATCATCTGACAATAACTTACAGATCTCACCCTAACATTAAATGAAAAAACACACAAAAAAACAATCATTTCTATCTTATTTTACAGAAACAGTCAGTACGCGATGGATTTTGATAACATAGAAACAAAGGAAAGGGAGAATTATGCAAGAAGTTCACTGCTGATTGTTCAATATACAAAAGATGGTCTTGCAGACTTAATAGAGCTGAATTTAAAATTGACAGGACATTCCTCATTTCAAGACTTTATTAATCACTACCAGCATGATTTGTATCATCTCTGCTACAATCAGGTCAAATGTTGCCAATGTTCAAGAAATTATAAGCTTCCACAGGAACAGCTAATACATCCAAAGCAACTAGAAGTGTTATTCGACAAATCCGGACCAAAAAAGGCTAAACATAATGCTTTTCGGATAGGAGATTTTTGTTGTTGCTTAGCTAAACAAAAATTATCAACATCCGCACTTGATGTTACACTCGCACGCTGCCTGTTGTTTTACTTTTGTGAAGAAGTGTTCTGGTATAGTTCTTTAAAATTACAAAAAACAACCTTAGAAGAGTTTCTCAATCAAAATAAGCATACACTTTATCATTTGTACGATACTTCAAGAAGATGTTGTCAATGTCCTCCTTTGTATAAGTTTCCTTCTGAAACTGAATTAATAGACGATTCTAATTGGACAGAGCTCTTTAGTAAGAGAAGAATGCCATGTATTCGTCATAAAAAACGTCCTATTGGTAAAAGAAACATTTGTTCCGTTTCGGCAACACCTGGAATTTTAGTGAGTCATATGGATCCTACAATTTCAAAAACATTGCTAGAGCATTGCTGTGCCCTTTGGAAAACAATAGAAAAACTTATATTGATTCGTGGTACAATTTTTGCTGATGTCGATGAAGCTACGATGCATGAAAATACATATCTGGAATACAAAGCTTCTCTGGAGTATGGAATTGCAGTAATGGCACGTGTGTGTAATAAAGAACACGAGGTGACAGAGAAATTAAAAAATGCAGAAAAACGAAAGATTGACGAAACAAGTATGATTACGACTATAAAAAGACAAATGTCTTGCACAGGAGCAAGCAGACTAACTGAGGTAATGTTATAATATCTGCAATTGTTATAGTGTCTTTCTTGCTTCCGATAACTTTTATTAAGAAAATTTGCAAACAAAATATTATGATAATTAACAACTATTAACTGGCCTTGGTAGATACGCTGTTTGAATTTGGAAACAAAATTGCTCCCGTTACCCTGGCAATAGGGGACGAGGTTGACATCCGTTCTTGCTTGCAATTGCAAATCTAGTTGTTCATCCACTTTTTTTTCCAGCTGTTTTCTCGGAATTGTATGAACTAATATTGATGGAACTATGCACAATAATGTAAACCACCATGTGCATATGTGCATTTAAGGGTTGACATAATCAAGATGGCTTCCGTTGTCATGAAAACAGAAAGAATGTGAAAAATCTAAAAGTCTTCCAAATTGATTGGATTTATGTGGAAATGTTAACAAGCATGTGCATATGTGGCATTGGACTTTTGAATTTCCTAAATGGCCGCCGTTTCCATGGAAACAGTAGAAATATGAAAAATTGAAAAATGATCCGAGATTCTTGAAAATATACAGGCCGATGTGTTGTAATGTCTTCATGTGCATTGACTGTTTAAAATTTTCTAAATGGCTGCAGTTTAGGGGCAATTTGGATAGGGCTATCCGCTATTGCTTGCAATGGTAAATTTAGCTATTATTATTCTTCCCTCTTCTTCATCTTCTCCCGCCACTTCGAAGTTGTACTTGTTCGCATCCGCTCTTCTAAACCGCTAGTTAAATTTTCTTATGTTCCACTATATGTTAGACTAATATGTCTAGTGGGGCAATCAGGGTTTTGTTTGTGCATTCGGGTCTATAAAGGAGTACTTTGAGGGGCCAATAGAAGGGAGGGGATTACTATAGATTGGGAATTTTATTTTTTTCATTTTTAAATGTTTTTAACTTGGAAACAGTTAGTGATAGCCACATGGGGACACAAGGGGTCTTAATGACCATTCAAACATAATGTCTACATAGGTCAAAAGTACAATGGTCACTTATAACCTTGACCTTTGACCTTGACCATTTTTTTTTAAATTTACACAAAATATTTAGTCTTTGAATCCCCAAGGGTTACCCCCCATCCCCTGCTATTTTAGAAAGTTCTAAGATATTGTTAGTGGTGAAGATCCCCGCCCCTGAACCATATATATACTAGTTTGTCATTTTAAGATGATTTGAATGATATACAGGTTAAGAGTAAAGGTGTCATCCCCACCCCCTGTCATTTGAATATGTTCAAATATCTTGTAAATGGTCGAGATCCCTACCCGAAACCATATATTTTCTGGTTTGACATGAACAGAAATAATATAAACAGGATATAAAAGACGTCCCCAGGGGTCAAGATGAAATTACTGAATAATAGGGATGTCTTTAGGGATTTTTACTTATAGAGACTAGGTTTGGGAGACATCGTACCAGCATATTCATGATATTTTTACAATCATTTCTTGTTCTAATCAAAACAATACAGTTTAACTAATTGTGTTTATTTTATTTCAGCAATCTTCCCTTAGCAAACAAGTTAATTTCAAAAGACAAAAGTTGATATTACGTAGAAGATCCACTGTGGAGGCGTCAGAACAGACAGCCAGTCAAGAACAGACAGCCAGTCAAGAACATACAGAAGGTTTCATTTATATATTTTAGTAAAATATACATATTCTGGGTGAATCTTTCGGAATCGTTACCAATAATTACTACATACTGTCTCATTCTTTTATCATTATCAAAGAATAATTTATAAAAATCAAAACAGAGTGATATACCTTTGCTTTAATTACTACATCATGAGATCAACATTTATTTAATTCACAGTGTCATTTACGAGGGTTGTCCGTAAAGTTTGAGGACAATCTCAATAAAATATCATTTACCCGTCCGAAATAAATAAAACAAGTATAAAACTAATTTCATGATTTACTGATTAAGTGTACAAAATTTTATTTCAGTACCTGCTTAAATAATCGTATTTTCATCAATTCAAAAATCATAAGAAACTCTCTCCCGGAGCACCCAAACAAATGTTTCCGACGTTCCGACGTTCGACGACGTCATCATTTTAACTTTTCTCAACGTAGTCTCCTTTCAAAGCAACACAGTTTTTACATCTTTTCAACCAGTCATCAAATATTTTCTCAAACTGTTCTGTTTTCATTTTTAAGATTATGTTCATTACTTCTTGTCTTAGTGTAGGTAAATCGTCGAACCTTGTCCACGGAGAAAAGATTTGATATGCGGGAATACCGCAAAATCCATTGGCGCTAAGTCAGGGCTATACGGAGGTTGTTTCAGACATTCGAATTCAAGTAAATCAATTTCTTGATCTGTTTTTAGAAGAGTGTGCCCGGTGCATTGTCTTGGTGTAATATCACTGATGTAGTAATGAAACCAGCTTTCATCGGTTGTAATTATTCTGTCTAGAAATCGTATGCCACCACGAGAAAGTTTTTTAATAAATTGATTTGACAATTCCATCCATTTTGTTAAATGTTCTGCTGTAAGAAGTCGCTGTACCCATCTAGCACATACTCGACTCATATGTAAATCATTTCCTAAAATGTGGTGCGCTGTTATTTATAGAAATGTCACATTTTGTCTGCAACTTCGCAAACTGTTAGTCGCCGGTCAACGTTGATTACGTTCAGAACTTCATATTTTATCGCATCTGATTTCCTGAAAGATGGCCTACCTTCCCGCTCTTCGTCTTCCAAATTGTCTCTACCGTCCCCAAACCTTTCGTGCCACTTGAATTCCAATGAACGACTAACTTTGCTATGTTTCTCAGACTGTTTTAAGAATTTGTGTGTTTCTGTTGGCGTCTTTCCGATGTCTACACAAAACTTTATAACCATCCGCTGCTCCACCTTTTCCGTAAATGTCTTTTTTTTAATCGATGCCGATTCTGAATTCATTGCTTCAAATCGAGATTTCTCCGCCATTTCGAAATTTTGACCATTCAAATTTAGCAGGTGTAACGGCAAGACTATTGTCGACGTCACAATGTATGTTTCGTGTATTTTTTGGCGGATTTTGAAATTTAAAATAACAAAAATATGAAAACACCAGCCTGCATGTAATGTGATATTTTCACCATGCTCCGGGTCCCTATTGATTATATTTAAATGAAGTAAGTGTCATTATTTCGCATTTAAAATTGGACAACTATTGATATAACCGAACTAGGATATAGTTCAGAATTACAAATATGCAAAAAGAATTTACCTGAAATGCTATTTTTTCGCAGACTTCAGCTTGTCCACGAACTTTACGGACAACCCTCGTAAGGTTGGGGGTTCAAGATTTATGACATATTTCTCTTTTCCAAAAAATATCCAATCAGATATGGAAATAATTGTATTTCTGTTTACAGTAACGGCCATTTGTATTGTGTTTGGGGTTTATATATTGATATTAGATACTCAATTGGCTTTAAAATTTTTGGTTTCGATCGTTCCAGATAGAGGTAGATCCAGGAAAGCGCTTCGGATGCGCACTATTTATCAAGTGTTATTTATTTGCTTTTAAACGTAGAAATGAACGAATCGACTTGCATTAATTTTATCCAGTTGATAATCTATGATACTAGAAAAAAGGGCACACACAATTTACTGCCTACAATATCTGCCTTAAACTTATCATAGATAGTTGTCAACGTTACAATCCTAGAGTCAGTGCACACTGCTATTCTCATCAGTTAACAGGGAAGATGTGATAAGAGACATTAATTTGTTGATGAGTGCATTTGATGATATAATGATACTTCAGATTAAAATCCTAGTTTTTGATCTCACTATGACTTTCGAAACATGTCGAAATTGACATATTTGGATTTACGTTCTACACATAGGTTTATCACAAAACAAATAAAGGCAACGCTTTATCAAAAAGATATTAAACATCTTTTAGCAATATATTGTTTTCTGCAAGGTTGTTGATCCTTTCTACATATTAATGACAACATCTAAAAATAAGACTATTTTTGGCAGTTTTTCACTCTTTCCATTGAATCCAAACAGCTGTATAGGCCTAAAGCAAATCAGAAGACAACACATTCAAAAATAAGAATGCTGCTCTCTGAACACTACATGTAATGTCTTGTGAATACCAGATAATGCTTTTTTTCGAATTAAAGTGGCCAAAATAATTGACATTGTCCTTGAAGTGAGAGTTGGGTGTTTATGCTCTTTACTTTTAAAACTATTTTTACTCGAACAACTTATCATAGTATTTTCTTGTAAATATAGAAAGTAATAACCGGAAATACAATAGTTTATAGGTTCAAATGTGATAAAGACAAATATCTAAATGGTAGTTAGGATCAGATGAATAAAGATACATTTATGTTGTATGGTAACTTTCTTTCTAATAATATATTTATCTATGTTGTATGTTTACCTTCTTTCTAATGATATATTCATCAATCTATATCCCCAATCACTTGAACATAATATATAAGGCTACTTTCCAAACATGTGCAGATGAAATAAGTTATTTATATATATATATATATATATCAGTTGATGTGTTAAAGCTTGTGATGTCAATATACGCGTTGCATATCGACTCCCATTTAAACAGTAATCAGCGTATATAGTCACATACATATATATTGTGCAGTCACTATAATTGAAAAACATAAACATTCGAATGTTCAAAAACAGGTTTTGACATTTTTACCTATATTGTCTGATTGTATTGCTCACACATTGTTGTCAATATAATAGAATAATAGCTGCTAGCATATAAGTGAGAGGTTTAGCTAGCTATAAAACCAGGTTTAATCCACCTTTTTCTTCATAAGGAAATGCTTGTACCAATTCAGAATGATGATAGTAGTTTTCTAATTGTTTGATGTGTTTGAGCTTTTGATTTTGCCATTTGATAGAGGACTTTCCATTTTGAATTTTCCTTGGAGTTTGGTGTTTTTGTTATTTTATTTTTTAATTGAAATGAACAACTAAAGTTTTACACAGATCAAGTTTGAATTTATTTATTTGCGAGGTTTTTAGATTTTCAAATATTTTGGCCTCGAGCATCACTGAAGAGAAATTAACTGTCGAAATGTGCACCTGGTGCAGGACAATTGCTTCCGTTAACGTTATAGCAAAACTTTAGCTAGCTGTAAAACCGGGTTTAACCCACCATTTTATTTCGGGAAATACGTGTACCAAGTCAGGAATATGATCGTTGCTTTCCAGTCGTCCCTTTGGTTTATTTAGTCGAGCGTTCGGTGTTGTCTGTTTTTATACGACCGCAAAATTTTTACGTTCATATTATTTTATGGCGATGTCTGCATCGTCGTCCGAAGACATTTTGGTTCGTTGACAAAAACTCAAGTATAAGTGTATGGATCCCTATGAAATTTTCGCTCAAGATTCAATACCACAAAAGGAAGGTTGGTATTGATTTTGGGGGTTATTGTCGTAGCTTTCTTGTAATTAGGGGCCAAAAACAAGCATTTTTCTGGTTCACAGACAATAACTAGAGTATAAGTGTATGGATCTTAATAAAATTTTAGCACAAGGTTCCATACCACAATAGGAGGTTTGGGATTGATTTTGGGGGTTATTGTCGTAGCTGTTTTGAACTTATGGACCAAAAAATGGACAAAAACAAGCATATTTTTTTATGACAGTAACTTGTCTATAAGAGTATGGATATCTATGAAATTTAAGCACAAGGTTCCATACTTCAAAAGGAAGATTGGGATTGATTTTAGGGTCCATGGCCCAACCGTTTGATAATAGGGGCCGAAAAGAGGCCAAAAAACTTGGATTTTCTGGTGTATTGACAATAATTTATGGATAGCTATTTAATTGTGCCACAAGCAGTTATACCACAAAAGGAAGGTTGGGATTGATTTTAGGGGATATGACCCCAACGGTTTGGGAAAAAGAAGCCAAAAACAATTAGTTTGTAATACTTTGAATAAATTGCTTATTTCTTGACCAATGTCAATGGGGTTTAATTCAAAGTCTTGAATTCGTGGGGATCTTTAATATGCTGAATCTAACCTGGTATTCAGAATTTGGATTTTGGGCCCTGTTTTTGAATTGATCCATTCTAAGGTCCAAAGAGTTCAAAATTAAACTTTGTTTGATTTCATCAAATATTGAACTGTTGGTGTTCCTCGGTATGCCAAAACTAACCACGTATTTAGATTTTTTTTTATTTTGGGGCCCTCTTTCAAATTAGTCCACACTAAGGCCCAAAGGGTCCAAAATTAAATTTTGTTTGATTTAAAAATTGAATTCTTGGGGTTCTTTGATATTCTGAAACTAAGCATGTATTAAGATTTTCAATTTTGAACACAGTAACAAAATGGGGTTCTTTGATAAGCTGAATCTAACCGTTTATTTAGATTTTGGATTTTGGATCCCGTTATCAAAATTGGTCCACATTGAGGTTCAAAGGGTCCAAAATCAAACTTTGCTTGATTTCTTCAAAAATGTTATTCTTAGGGTTATTTGTTGTGGTGATTTCAACCATGTATTTAGAATTTGGATATTGGACCACAATTGGTAAATACCCAATTGTAAATTATTTCAGGACTTAGACCACATTCATTCTGTGTCAGAAATTATGGTATGTCAAATAAATAATCACAATCCAAATTCAGACCTGTAT